CGGGGCGGGGCGTTCCCTCTTCATTTTTCGCGAGGCGAGGTGAGAAAATAAGGTAAACAGAACCAAGCGCGGCACAAAAGGGATGATAAAAAGATGCGGGGACGACGGCGCGGGCCTCTCTATCCCCTCCTCCGCCTGTCAAAGCCTCAAAGGGGGTCAATGCTGAATCCGTTCCGAATCACAGTGAGTTGTCATACTCCCTCCCCCGCCAGCCCCACTCCTCCTCCTCAATGACGACCGATGTTTTGCTAAACTCGGCGGGGATTTTCTGTGGGAGTCCCCCCCCTTGCCTGGCCCCGCGGCGGCATAGGGGGCGCGTGCGTGCCGGCCGAGGTGCATATATTTCCGACTTCCCTTCCGCGCTGACGTGCGCCCCGCGCGCCCCTGCCCGCCGCCGCCCCCGCCCGCCGGTGTGCCCCAGCCAGCCCCCTTTGAGGTGTGCCGGCGGGGATCAAGCGCTTCCTGGCCACGTGACGCCGTCGCCAAAGCCCTTCCGAAGGCCCTCGGAGACCGCAGCAGCAGCAAGACCCCGCGCCCCGCGTGACTGTGGAGGGCGATGACGGCCGCTTTGGCGGCATCCTCCCCCGACCCGTGCACGCCCGCACGCCCTCGCGGCGGCGGAGGCAGCGCGCTCTGGCCGACCCTGGTGGCGGAGTTGGGAAGCACTCGCTCCCTCCCCCTCCCGCTTAGCTTACGCAGCCCCCTACTACCCCCCACGACCCCTAGGGAATTGGGGGTATCGAGGGGTATAGAACGATGGGGCGATGTACGTCGCAGAGGGTGAACGGGTGAACCTGGGGGTGATATAGCCGCTCGACAAGTGAATCTATAAACGCTCCGAAACCGCAAACACCCTGCGTCAAAACGGTCAAAACTGACTCCATGACGATTGACGACGCCGATTTGACCTTTCCCTCGCATCGTTCAGCACGGTTCATTAACTTCGGGGGCCGCCACGTGGAGGCAGTGGTTGTGCCCTACTTCATGTACGCACAGCGCACTTGCATTCCTACGTGTGGGCGGGTTACCTCCGCTCGGCACGCAAGGCGCCATGGTCAGGGGCGATAGGCCAGCCCGCCAGCCCGCTCGCCTGCGTGCATACAGCATAACTAGACAACTGAGCGGGGTCAATCAGCCACGACCTGGTTGATTCGTGGCGCTGTCGCGCGTTGGCCTACTCACCGGGCGGCGTGCTCGTCCTGGCTCCGCTCACCACCGCTGCGCTCGCTACCGCACCGCAAGCCGTATGCAGAATGTGCAGCATGGCGGTTTGGGACCGTTGTTGATGGGTCCCCGACGGCAACCTATCATCGTCATCTTCACGACGTCTATCAACAGCTATATTCAACTAAGAACTTTTGCTCACGCTACGTAACGCTACGCTCAGCGAGAGTGACAGCGCGCGCGCGCGCACGCACGCACGCACACACACACACACGCGCGCGCGCCTACGGCATTACGCTCAGCGTGGAGGAGTGACCGTAAGTATACTGTAATTCGGGGTGTCTCAAATGTATACGCCAAAAGGCGTTTGCTACAGGATCCCGAGCAACATTTGGCGTATACTTTTGAGACATCTTTTGGCGTATAGATTCTAAACACCTTTGCCCATACCATTCCCACAGCACAGCAGAGGCCCTCTGATACATACACCCTGAAAGGCGCTCACGTCCTGTACATCCTTACTCCTGCATGCTGCTCAAAGCTAGGGCTGTGCCATGGGAGTAGTACGGGCAAAGATGTCTAGAATCTATACGCCAAAAGGCGTCTCAAAAGTATACGCCAAATGTTGCTCGGGATCCTGTAGCAAACGCCTTTTGGCGTATACATTTGAGACACCCCGAAATTACAGTGTAGTCCACAGACCCCTTCCTTTGTTTTGGTCATACTGCGTGTGGACGGGTTGCGTAATGGTGAGCGTCTGTAGGCAAGGCCGCCCGCACGCCTGCATGCGGTACAGTCAGCAAACCAAAGGAAGGGGTCTGTGGACCACCCTGTAGCACCTTGCCTGTAGGTAGCATCTTGCTGTCAAAAGACCGTTCATTCCGCCTTAGCCTGGTTTCTAACAAATCGGAGGTGTCCAATCAGAGAACCAACCAAAACATTCGGAAAATTAAGAAAGTGGCCGAAACCTCAAGCTAGCGGTTCACGAAGTCGTTTTGTGGTTTGTTTGTCAACAGGGGAAAAAAAGGGGGGGGGGGTCGGAAGTAATCTGTATATGTACATTTCTCATACAAGAGAACTGAGTGAAGCCTCGCGACGGGCACTTTCGGCTGCAGTGGCTGTCGTCTGCTCGTTAGGGGACCGCATAACCCCTTGGTGGTGTTGCATTCAATCACAAACGGACTTACTTTTGTCGTTTTCGAAAGAATACGGGTGGATACTCCACAAATTTCACTCAAGTTTCAGCTGTTTTTTGAAGACTATCCAAGTGGCCTGCTTTTTTAACTTAACCATGAGTTCCCTTGGCATATTTATGTCTGTTCAGAGAACAATTTTGAGGCCATGCAGACAATTGTCAATTGCTCGATGTACTTATGGAAATTCTGCAATTTTGGCTCGTGCTGCTATAAGTTCTCCCATTGATGCCCTGAAACCCAACCATAAAGGGTATCCTCTAGTTGTAGTGCACAGAGATTATGCCTCCAAGAAAGGTGGAAAAAAGAGTAGTAAGTGAGAAACTAGAATTTAGTTCGCAGTATATTTTTTTACATCTGGTAAATCCAAGGCATGAATTCCTTGAAAATGTGTTAATTGCTCTATATTTTCAGAGGGTGGGGCTCCAGTAAATACACATGGCCTTAACGAACACATTGACACTGATGTAATGACTCAACAAATGGAAAGTGCCGTAGAGACAATGAAAACTGAATTTGTGAAAAGTTTATCACTGAGATCGGCAGGTATATATTGAAAGCATATTTCTATTGCAGTATTGCTGTCCACACTATTTAAACTCCTGGTGTTTATTTGTATTTTACAGGGTCAGTGGAATCCTTCAAAGTAAAATATGAAGGTAAAGAATATGAACTTCAGCAGATAGCAAAGATGACAAGGAAAGGACAGCAAACTATTGTTGTGGATATGTTATCATTCCCTCAGATGACTAAAGCAGTAATGGATGCCCTGAAAACATCAGCATTGAATTTAAATCCTCAACAGGAAGGCACAACGATCTTTATTCCAATCCCTAAGTGAGTGTTTGTGGGTGTGTTATCTCGATCTTGTTCAGTCTCAAATATCCCCTTCAACTTAAACAACCTCTGAACATCATGAGGTAGAGCTATGAAAATGAAATGATTCTTACTTGCAGAGTGACCAAGGAACACAGAGAAATTCTTGCCAAGAAAGCCAAAGCTCTATTTATAACATGTCGAGACTCAATAAAGCGAATTCAAGAGAATAACATAAAAGAACTTAGAGAAAGTCCCATGCCAGATTCTGAAAAACAAACTGCATATAAACAGGTAAACAACTGTTCTTTAAATTCATTAAGTCAAGTGAAAACTGTCTAAACTTTTGAGAGTTTTTCTTTTTCCCAGGTCAGAGCAATCGCAGACAAGTATGTTGCCCAATCAGAAACGATGATGAAAGGAAAACAAGATGAACTTTTAGGAAAATGAATTTGTAACTAATGAGACTGAATATATTTTCTGGTGTAAGAGATTATCTGGAATGGCAATTACATTTTTTTAAAGACATGATTGATTCACAGCAGTTTGTAGTTTAGAATTTTGCAACAGAAGTTGCTTGATCCACTTTCAGACTACAGAAAGGAATGCTATTGATTCAATTAATCCCTAGGAGGGTAGATTTGACTGATTTTTGGAATCATCTCTTGTGCCAATTCCATTGAAGCAGCACATAACATTCGTCTAGCCAGTAAATCCAATGGTCCACCTGTTAAAGGGGGAGAGTGGTAATTTTAAACCTCAGTTCAGTCAATTAGTGAACTTATTATCATGAAGCACTGTACCTTCAGGATCAAGACACACGCCACCTGCCTCTCTAACAAGCAGATCACCTGCAGCATAGTCCCAGGCATGGATGCCAAACTCAAAATATGCATCAGAACCTCCCATGGCTACCATTGCCATATCAATTGCGGCTGATCCACTTGATCTGGTCCTAATACATTAAATCAACTATTCTTATCAATACCATTTACAGGGCTAAAATTCAAATTTTTTGCAAAATTAAATTTTGTAATTATTTTAACTTACCCATGTACAATAGGAGTAAAAGTTTGTTGGTTCTTAAAATTATTACTCATTTTTTCAGCCTCATGTGTTGTGCCACATTCGAGACCTAGCAAAGCTTGTTTCAGTTCTGAAAAATTTCATTGTGTTGTATAAATTCAACTTTCATTTCTTTTATTTGCGCTCTTAACATGCACAACGTACCTTTCTCTCCAGATACATGAATAGGTTCTCCATTAAGCTTAGCTCCCTGTCCTCTCCGTGCAGTGAACATTTGTTCCAGGACAGGATTGTATATTATGGCTATTTCAGTGATTTTATTCACAGTGAACCCAATGGAAGTGCAGACATTAGGATAACCATGAACAAAGTTCATTGTCCCATCTATTGGATCGATTATCCAAGTCGGAGCATCTGTAAGTTCACATGGAATGCCTTCAGCTGTTGACTCTTCTCCAATGAACCTAAAAATATTGAAATTTTTGCAGTCAAGGGGAAAGCAAACTGGAAAAGGAAACAGGGATTACTTCATGACTGCCTTACCTGTGGTCAGGGAATTGAGCCTGGAGATTTGATATAAGCATTTTTTCAACTTCTTGATCAGTTTCTGTAACCAGATCAATTCGATCCGACTTTGTGTTCACTGTTTTTTTGTTGTAAATTCTTTCCCGTATTATCTGTGAACAAGAAAGTTTGCCCACAGATAAAACCAGTACAAGGCTAGACTCCGTTTTGCCAGATAACGTTAAGTAAACACCAAATTCTATGACGTAATGACTATGTTGAGCTAGATTATAACATCTGTAAAAACTAGTATTTATGTCACATATAAACATTTTAAAAAAAAAACACTATAGTTATTTTAAATTTTTGCATGTCTAGCTTTCAAAGGGCTTCACACTTTACAGATCCAGTTGTAACGCAAAATCAATAGAAGCCCACATAATGCATTAAATTCAAGGAAAAAGATAGAATAGAGGCAATCCTTGTTTCTAACTGATGTAATGTTCATGATATTAGATTATCACGAACGCCTCTTATCACACATTATTTTGGGTCCCGTGCGAGATGGCTTAATAACACCCACAACAGATCAGCTGTCTTGTGTCAAACTTCGGTCGTCTGCTTGAAAATACACATGACAGTGCTCGACTCACCTTGCCACCTGCCTTCGCAAGCTCCATCACTACTTCGAAACATTTATCCAAATCAACAGACATTTCTCTGACTTGAAAGTATTTGTCAAAAGTGCAGAGTCTTCGGCTCAAGAGCCTGTGGCGTCAATCTTGAATGGAATATCTCAGAGAAGAGCACCTTATATACCCGCCCCAACTGGGAGACGTGTTCGGGGAAGTGGGGAGTGGAACGGAAGGGCATGACGGAGGGGGCCGTCCATAAAAACAGAACAAAATATTTTTTGGCGCACACCTTCTTCGAAATGGTGTTGAAGAGAATTTGTAAAAGCACCTAACTGAATTTTGCTATACAGCTACCTCACCAGTTAAGTCTGAACCATGGAAATATGGTGTAATACTGAGAAATTCGAGTCGATGTCACGTTGTAGAAGTACAAGAAGAAGAACGTGACGCCAGGGACGACGCCGATTCCACCCGATCCCTGGCTGCTGAGGCTGCGGCTGGGAAGCTTTCCGGACTGCCCACAAGGCTTCAGCTTATAGAAGGTCTCCATAAACAAGCTGCGGAAGAAATCTCGCCAATTCACCAATTAAACCTCGCATCTCTGGATTTATCGACTACCGCCGCTCTCTGAATTCCTTGCGCACCTTCCGGAGTCAAAGAAAAGAAGGTACTAAACAGAAGAGCAAAACTTTCGCTGAACGACCTTTTCCGACAAGCCGCTTCTCGTCGTCGTAAGCAGGTTATTCGGGTTTGAATGGAACTCTTGTTTTTCCCTGGGTGTAACTATATCATCGCCTAATTTGTCGAGGTGTGACGTACTCCTTAATATCTGAATAAGGGTTGGGGTAGCGTGGGTTGATTACGGCTAGTTATTCCCGTCTGGCTTATCTAACCTCACCCTTGTTGGTAAGCGGTTACATTAGCGTCGAACTGCTACATTTTATTTGCATTTTAAAACCATTTTACTAGAATTTCTCCCCTCCATCTGTAAGATCTCTTACAAGTAAGTATGCTCAATTTCGACTGGAGGGAGTGAAAATCGCCCTGATCATTCTCATATAACCTATCCTATTCCAGTATGTAAATCTATTGATGCCTGCTAATCTGGAACCGCTATGTATGGTTGGGTTGTTTCCTTCAAATGTCCCTTATCTATTTTAAGACTTTGTTTCTTTAGTTTTGCCATTCAACTCACGAATTTCTGCTGTATTGTAGACTTGGAATTTTGACATTTCAGGCGATGTAGTACCTTAACAGAGAAGTGTGCTATTGTGTTGCTATTCCTCTATGTTCATTCCTGTGTATGTTATTATCTCTTTATGGTTAGTATCAGTTTCAAATTTATTATAGATCTTTCACCCTTCCTCTCAGGTTTTGCCATGGACCGGAGAAACTGGGGATATGGTGGTGGTGGCGGCGGCGGAGGAGGAGGAAACTATCGAGCTGACTACGGAAATAATTATAGATCTGACTACAATAACTATGGAGGAAATTATGCTGGTAGTCATGGTGGCTACAACTCCTACAATAACTCTTACGACAATTCTTACAACTCCTATAACAACGCCGACCACTTTACCCCACCATCTAATCGGGGATATGGAGGAAGGGATGGCTATGGAGGCTATGCCCCAAATGGACGTTTCTTCCCACCTGCTGGACCACCAGGGAGAATGGGGGGACCCGCTACGCCTCCTCAAAGGCCAGCTGCAAGAGGTAGAGTGGACTGGAAGAAAAGGAGGCGTGACAATAATGCCTCGAGAGAAACTAAGAGTGCAGCATTTCTAGAGAGAAAGAAGTAAGCCTCTATTGAAGTATGAGTTGTTTATTTAACAATTTCTTCTCTTTACTAATGAATTATTTTTTTTACAATTCTTTCAGGCGCACTCTTTTTCTTCGCAACTGTCCAGAGAAGCCTGAAGATGCCTTAAAAGAGGAACTTAAAACATTATTTGCAGAGTGTGGAAAAGTTGAACAGGTAAAATGTTTTTTAACATGTCCAAACCAAATATTTTCAGACCCTTGACTTGAGTAATTGTAGCAAACTGCAGAAGTTTTCTCATCTGAAAACTCGGATTTCACTATCTTATTTATACTCAGGTTACAATAAATAAACAAGAACTCAGCTGCCTCCCTGGACCAGAAAAGAAAGTCTCAATAGAGGTGCGCATAGTTATGGGAACAGAAGAGGAAGCTAAGAAAGGCTTGGAGAAACATGGAACAGTCATTGAGGATCGTCATCTTGTTGTATCTCGGCAAGAGAGTGATTTTGAGTCTTGGAAAACGACTGTTGTCTGTTGCCTCAACATATCTCTTGGTATTTATGAAAAATTATAACTATGCAAATTACACATTTGCACAGTTCATATTTATTCAACCTATATATTGACTTTCAGATGTTGATGATGAAGATCTGTGGAGATTTTTTGATGAATGTGGTAAGATAAAGAATGTGAAAAGAGTAAATGCCACAAGTGGGGATGGTCGTTTGTATGGTCAAGTTCATTTTGAGGTGAGGTGCTTGATATTCTTTTTACTGTTCTGTTTTAAATTCTTTGAAGATACTCATTAGCATCTGCTTTAACTTTCACAATGTAGAATGAGGAAGAAGCCCAGAAAGCTCTTAGTTTAGATGGCAAAGAGTTGAAAGGCAAACCTGTTAAGTTGAGAATGTGGGCATCTCTTAAGGACCGTCCTGGTCTTGGTGTTGTGGTTCTCAATTTACCTTATGGTAAGATTTCATCTATCCAAATTTTTATCATAATTGTATCTATCTGCTTAAAGACTGTTTGACTTGCTTTCAAAATTAGGTATTACAAGGAAGGAGGCATTGGAATTTATGGATGGATGTGGTGATATTTCCAACCTCAAGATTGACTCAGCTGAGACAACCAACCGCAGAGCTGTATTTGTATTTTGGGTAAGGAATTTTTTAATCATCTGTGATGTGGAAAAATTACTATCTTAAATTTAAATTTGAACTAAAGGGAATTCATTCTGTATGAACTGGTTCAATATTTTACCATTGATATTTGATGATACAGTTTTTTTTTTTTGTTTTTTTGAAGGATGCTGATGGCGTTGAGAAAGCCATTTTACGTGACCGACAAGAGCTAAACAAGCAAGAAGTGCGTGTTTTGCCTTGGGATGGCCAACGACTGATTAATCCAGTGTATTTGGCTGATCTTCCTCCAGGTACGTTGTTGTCTCCACCATTTAAATGATTCCACATGCAGTACACTGTTAGTTTTTCATTTATTTATTTTTTCTTGTTGCATTTTTTTTTCAGCAATTCTGGAAGTTGACATCTGGAAAGTATTCCAAGTCTGTGGAATCATTGAACATGTTCATAAAGAAATGAAGAAGAATAACATCAAAGCTTATATTGAGTTCCAGGTGAGTCCGTTCTAGATAACCTGAAATACCATAGGTCTAGTTGTGTGATAATTTATTCCAACACTCAAATGGCATTTTCAATTTACTAGGATCCAGAGAGTGTTGTCAAAGCTCAAACCCTCGATGGAATTCTGATCAAAGGATCATCTGTTAAAGTAATGGCAGATAAGGATGAGTGGGATAATTATCCACCAGCGCCAACAGCAGTCTCTCAAGCAGGAACTCAAAATGGTCAAAGTGAACAAAATTCTGCTTCAGTTAAGGAGGAAGCTTCTGAAGAATCTAAGGTAGAGCATTCAGGAGAACAATCTAATGCTGAATCAGATGCGAATGTAAAAGAAGAACATCAAGATGGAGAAGATGAGGAACATGGTGAAGGCCAAGATGAAGCACATGAGGCTCATGATGAAGCACTGGAAGCTCATGATGATGCCCAAGGAAGTGAATGTAATCCTGAAGGTTCACAAGAGGAAGCAAATGAAACATCTGCTGATGAGGTCAAACAAGAGTCAGAAGAGGTTGCTGAAATTCAGGAGGGGCGTAGCACTCGCAAGCGGAGAGCTGCGACAGCCACCCCACTGAAAACTCCACCCAAAACTCGACGAGGGCGATAACTTTTGCTGATTTTAGTAAACTAACTTCTATCTTAAATTTTTCTTTCATACTCACTTTTTTCTTTTTATTGCGTTTTCTCAGTTTTCAACGACTTAGGTATATTGTCAGCCTTGCATCTCTGGCATTGCCAATGAATGGAACATCACTCAATTTTTTGCAGTACATAAAGAAGAATTCTTTCATCTGCTACTAATTTCTCTTTTTATACATGTATTGAATACATTAAGAATATTCTGGCCAAGTCCCTCTTTGACAAGTGTATTGTTTTTTTGTTTTTATTTCTATATTTGTTTACCACACTCTGAGATGGAGAACTCAGATTTCTGTAAATTGAATCCAGCCTTATACAATAAGCATTTACCTCTAGAGCAATTTAACTGCTTGTATGTACAAGCATGCTCGCACAGTTTGCACCCTGTGTTCAATGTCCTACTCAGTACAAAATGAGAATTATTACAATTAGTTAATTTTCAGGCTTTATTTGGGAGGGATTTGCATTTTGTTCAATGGAATTGAATTATTGTAACTATAACTTATATTATAATTCAAATGACCCTTTGGTACTGAAATACAAGTTGTACTTACCAAATTGTACAGCAATACAGGAGCATTGTTTCTTCCATTATTCCTACATGTAGGGGGGGGTAAAGGAGCACTATTCCTTAACTGTGAGAAGATATAATTGGTGTGGTTGTTGTAGACTTAAGAATTACAGAAGTAATTCTTTTATTATAATTTCACCTTTCTATGATGTTTTAATTGAAATATTTTTATCGTTCTGAGGGGTCAGGACAGCTGTTGAAGTTTGAGAAGGGCTTTTTCATTTAGTAAAGTATCACTTCTTAGCTGAGCGTTATTTAATTAGACTTTCATCAGTAAGTCAACCATTTCAAATCTAGCTAGCGCTATATTGTTGTCTGCACTTCTAATATTTCATGATACTACAGATCAGGCTTTCTTTCAATTTCTTATCAAGTAATGATGAACTTGTTTGTATAATATATATCTGTATTGACCTAAAATATGTTTGATTTAGGCTAAGGACCAATATGAAGAAGTGTATTATCATTGATTGTGTGTACAGTTTCTGCTTTGAAAATCATACAAACTTGGAGACCAAACAAATACTTTACTGTCCAAGCCCAAATCAATTTTTTCACACCGGCAGTATCAGTAAGCTATGAGCATCAATGAGTACTTTGCAATTATTGTTTTAATATTTCACCGCAATGATCATATCAAAGTATCTTCTAGTTTCCAGTCATTAATCTCTTTTGTAAGATTTTGTGTGCATAACAAATTACAAATATACTCATTGTTGGCATGGCAATAGAAAGGTGTGTAATTCTTCTGTTCAAAATTTCTTTTAAAGGGGTAATTTTGTAGTAAAGATAGTGCGACATTGGTCAGTGTTTTAGGAGGGCATGCAATCAAACTGTTAAAGTACCTCAACAATTATGTACTAATATTTAAAATTCATAATGGAAATCATGTGAAAATTATTAGTAAATCATGATAAGTATATTATTTTTGGCTTTATTTATGCACCCTGAATTCCTTAGAGTAGAACATCAAGCATCATATGAAAAATTAGATTTTGAGTTATGCTGTAGGGTTTGGTGGGTTAGTCAGGGGTCAGTGCAGCCTCTGCATCTGCATGTCTGTCCAAAATTGGTTGGTCAGCATTTTGGTGGGAATGGGTGGAGAAGGGGAGAGGGTGGGACCAGAGGACATGGAACCCACCAACCACCCGGGTAGAGAATTTGGAGAATGATTTAGTACGTGCTTTGGTAGCTTGTGCATGTGCATCTCTACCGAGTGGGGTTGAGCAAGTAACAAACTCAAAATTGAAAGTGAAGGAGGTGGCTATGTTGAAAAAAAAAAGGTACTTTTAATGAATAGTATATATTTATTTGTAATACTGATATAATGTCATAATTTACAGAATATCACAAGGGTATCGATAGCACAGCATGATGAGAAACTCCTCTGCATGATGCTGGGATTAATACTAATAATTAATGAGGTGTGGACTTTGTCTCACTTGACTGAGGTAAAATATCCCAAGTCGGTGCAGCAAAAATAGACACTTACAAACAAGTACAAGTAGAATGGATGTGATCTAATAAACTCTCCTAATGCATTTGCAAATGAAATAAAAGATCTTATGATACATTTGTTTTGACCTGGAAGTAGTACCAAAATGGACTAAAACTCACAAATAATTTTATCAAATACGGTCAGAACCCTAAAAGGTCTGAAATGTTGTGCTTGAACACAATGAGTGACACCTGACAACAATGTATTCAAGCTTGAAGCTAAACCATAATGGGCTGAAAATTTCTGCACTCAACTTGTCAACCAAGAGAAGGTTCAGCAATACATAGCTCTATAACATAGTCTGCACCTACTCTCAAAGCAAATAGTATGGAATGTAATTGATATAAATATTTGTAGTTCAGTGAACCAAATATTGCACTGAAAAACTTGAACATAGGAAGGGAAATAATGCAAAACACGACCTGGTGGCCCTCAGGTAATTTGGTAGGTAAAATATAAAACCAACACTAATACGCAATGAAATAAAAAGTTAGTATACAGTGAGACTGAACGGAGATTTCTTGTGATCATTGTAACTCACCACACAAACCAATGCAGGTGTACAATGGACATAGTTTTGATCTCTCACTTATAAATTAAATTGAATGATCTAATAACAGATTATCAACAGTATCACATCTATCTGGTACAATAATCCTGAACATTGGTGGGACGGTCCAACAAACATACTCTCTCATTTATGATAACATTTAAATTAGATTATGATGCCAATTGCTGGCATATAGGGCATATTAAAAATATTCGCACAAAAGCGACCTTGCAATTAGCTATACACACCATATCTTTCTCTCTTAACAATAGGCAGCAATGCTGCTCGGCAGTGTTGGAATAAATAATACAATTCCACATCATCATCTTCAAGCAGGATAGACATTTGGAAGGGATAATGGCACTCAAAAGCTCACACAAATCAAGACCTTTCCTCTCAACACTTAACAAACAGAAAAAAAAGGCCAGACTAAGCTGAAGCACTTAAAGCACTGCAAAAGGAAGGTATCTTTTCTTTTAAATTGTACTCATCCCTAATGCTTAGCAACATTAAATAGTTTTCAAGAAAGTACCAAGCTCTGAAGATTTTAAAAATACTGTTCAGTAAGAGCTAGCTTTAAATAGGTACCAAGGTGACCCGTTATAACTATCAGGAAAAATTAAAAGTTGAGTTACTGGATCTGTTCCTCTTTTAACATACCTGTATGACATAATTATGTACATTATGAACAATAAACGTTCACTTATGTGCCCAAAAGAAAAGCTTTAATGGCACGTTAACTAGGATGAAAATAAATATGTATGTAAGTACTGTATGTGAATGTAATACATACTTCAAAAACTCAGGGCATGATTAATCTCTGCTATTTAACTGATATTATCTATCAAACAGTATTTTCACTGAATGCATGAGCACGACTAGAATTCGACATGTGAACTACAGACATTAGAACTGTCATAAGGAAATCAAATCTGAAAACATACAAACATAACATATGGAATGGAGAATTCATGTCAAGATTTAGGAACAAAATCTAAAACTTTTGCTCGCACTTAAAACAGAAACCATGAGAAAATTTGTAAAAATGTGCCAGTTACAAAATGAAATAAAATTAGCTCAACTAAACAGTTGAGAATAGAAAGTGAGATATTTAAAACTAATGAGAAATATTCTTCAAGGTTAGTAGATACCCACTACATTTAATTCCACAAAATTATTACTTTACCTTTACCCAAGTTATTGTTTAGTTTCCAGTCATGCCAAAGCAGGCATTTCAAAACCTTTCAAAACTCTTTTTAGACTCTGAAAGCAATTCATGCCTTAATCAAATAATCTGACAAAAAAATTGCCAAATTTCTTATGAAGAAACCTATTTAAAAAAACTAAAACACTAAAAGAAAAAGAAGCATAACCAAATGATATCATTGAGAACTCTGACTAACTTCTGGCATCTATAATATGATGTCGCACTAAGAGCACTGGGCATATAAAAAAAATACTATACATATTGCTAATATTTTGAGCTACAAAGTTTTAAGGTTCAAAGGAACATGGAAATTTTTAACACAAAAGGTATGAGATCACCTGACAATTTGGGAACAGGTTAATTAATGATGATTTACAGTATATCAAGATTTTTTTCAAAATACTTGCTTCAACTTACTCCAACAACTTTTCTACATCTGATTCTTAGTACATACTCTCACTTTTGGCAAATGACCTGTGATAATGTAACACTAATAAAATATGAGAGATTTAATAAGATTGATTTTAGTGAGAAAGGAAACAAGATGACAAAATAAACCATGTAAAAATAATTAAAATGGAAGATGATTTATCACAAACATAATTTCATTAAGTGACCTAAATACTGATTTGGATTTAACTCTTGAATCTCTCAATTTAGATAATAACAATGTGCACAAGACATGGTATGGAATATTACATCACAGGTTGCTAGGGCAAATCAACTAGACTCAGCAGACAAAGCATCATTTCTGCTTCCTGTATTGATAGTCCCAAAATACATCTGCAATTTTAAATTTGCCGAAGTCTACTGATAAAGCTCCTAGAGTGAAGTCACTAACATATTCAAACAAGGTCTTGATCAAAGATTATTAGGGATCAGTATTTCACACACAAAACAGAAACAGCAAGGCAAATATTGTATTTGCCATAGGCTCAACCATAAAGCCCCCCCAAAAATTTAAATTGAATACAAACTAAAAGAAACATTGTGTAAATCAATGACAGGTAATTACCACACAGAGGACAGATAACTCAAAACGTAGATGAAGATATTACTGCATTAAACATCATTGTTGAAATTCAAAACCAAAAGACGAATAGGAAGATGTATGTAGGGAATATAATTAATAAATCCAAGGTAAGAGGAAAAACTTAAAACAAGTTGAAAACACACAATAATTAGTACTAAAACAAATGTTTGAAAAAAAAAGGGTGTTATAGATAAAGAGGTTTACAAAACTGAGGATAATAATAAGCTAAAATTAGAGGTACATGACTAGATTAGGGGTAATTTATGTTACGATTTTGATTAGTACTGGTAGGACGTCTTTACGGAGAACAATAATAAATAATCACTAATCATCAGACAAGTGTTTCTGATGGTTAATGTTTAATCTTCTATGATTTTCATAATGAAAACATCATTAAGTTGGGGCTTGTGGAAATAGATAATACATAGAATGAGTGCAAGCAAAATGCAGGGGAGAACCACTCAAATGCAATAGGGCATAGTGCATCTCATGCTTTTTGTTTGGAATCGGCAACGCAGCCAACCTGATTTGATTCTACCAGTAGCACAAAATGAGTCTTCACACACCAATCCTGCATCATGATGCCAGATGGAAATCCACATTAGCTGCTTATAGCTTATCTGACATTTATGAGAGTCTCAAAAGCTTGACCGCTCTAAAGAATTTTTAAAATTTGATGAATATTACGTACATATTTTGTTACTGGTGGAATTTGAAAGTGGATGTGTTACTGTTCAAGTTGAGCAGGAATAAATGGTATGTAACTGAGCACACTCTTAAGTGGAAGGGAAGCAAACCAATTCCCTTATAATTAAGGTTTAATAAAAATAGATAATTTCTCCACCTGAGGGCCTACTGTACAGTACAATGCACAGATTAGTTTCATAATTTTGTGGAGAAACTTATATGTAGTTTTCTTCATATGCTAATGTACCAGATTTGATAGGAAATAAAAAATATGAAGGCTAGCAAAGATCTATAGATGAGCAGTCCCATCATCTATGTTTGATGAATAAGAAAACTATAAGGGACCCTAACTGTCCTACAATATTTGTAAACTGCACGTTGTAGTTACACTGTATTAAAATTGTACAAAAGGTAAGGTGTCTCAAAAGTTACTCTGTCTCTCATCAGTACATACAATTATTACAATCACTTAATAAGCAAAAGACTACAATGTCTTAGATTTGATTTTCTGTCTGTCACAGATTGTGTTTTGGTCCCAGCCAGAAAAGAAATATTTAACGGAAACTCCACTGAAATAACTCTTCAAGTTGGGAAATCTTGAGTTTACACATTCTAGTACAAAGGTAGGAGAGGTAATTTCACTTTACATGTATGGCAATGTATAACACCAAGATTGCAATGACATTCGCACATTCTTTGAGATACAGTACTTTTCCAAAAACAATTGAGCAAAGTACTAGCAAGGCAATACACTTCAGTTAAAAGAAATGATTTGTCAGCACACAGTATAAATATTTCTGACTGGGTTGCTTCTTTTAAAACAAATTAAAACAAAACTGACTAGAAAGGGTTGATTTTTAACAACATTACAGCCACCTTAAAAAGGTTAAAAGCTATGACTAGAGACCTCTAAGTCAGTCATTCCCTGTGTTTGTGGGCATAAAATGGTCACGCACCTCAAGATTGGCGGCAAGGTCGAACACAAGATGTGTAAGTGAGGGGTGGTCCAATAAATCCCCTTCTGGGAGAGGAGGTTGACATCGTGGTCGCAGCATAGAACCCTAAGATTTGAAAAAAAATAATTAAAATCCAATGAATAAACTTGAAATTTTAGAAAATCAAATTAAGTTATAGCCAATAATTATAATTTTTCCCCCTACCTTAAAAGAACGATGCAGATGTAAGACAACATCACAAAACACATAACGAAGTAAGAGGACCCGAAGAAAGTCATCACCAAAAAACTGAATGTAAGCAGGATCTGGGAAAAAGAGAGGAGTAGAGAAAAATAAGGTTGTATCCCAAAAGACTTAACAGCAGACAGTGTGAGAGAATTGTAAGTTTTTAAACTTACCTATCCTACAATGTGAGAATAGTCTGCTTGCTTCAGTGACAAACCGGTCAATGAAAGACTGACACCGTTCCCACTGATGAATGGGTATTGTTGTTACTCCGCAAATGTAGCAAAATGCCGTCAACGGAGAATGAAGGAATAATGTAAACAAGCTACCATTGTGGTGATGGTCTGAAATACAGGAAATATGCAATTATTCATACAGAGAGACAAAGAAAACAGTATACAGTAGTAAGATATGAAATAGTAGTTTATATTTACCCTGGAACTTCAAAGGAAGTTCCTGAGGAGACATGAGAATGACAAGTGGTTGATTGAAGTACTGGGGAATATGTTGAAAAGCAAAGCTGTTGTCCGAATCCACAATTACAAAGAATGGCTTCCTTGTAAAAGGATACAGATCACCAGGATACATGCTAGAAACAAGACAAAAATTAGAATATTTAAAAAAAAAAAAAAACAGAGAGAAAACAACATGTGAGATTAGATTAATTGATTGAAACTCGTAGATTAGATTAAAGCACACTAATTTTATGAAAATAGGTATACCAATGCATTTCTTTTAGTTGTAAGGATTTTTTATTGTGAATCATATCTTCTTTTTTGCAACTTGTCTGAACTCCACCTAAATCATAACCATCTGTAAAATAAAACAAATTACAGATGATAACAGTCTACTTGGAACTGGTAAAATTATACCATCATGAGTGTTTCTCTAGCTTACAGTCCTGAGGGTGTTTAGCAGTAGAAAAGCAGCCATCCGCAGACAGGTAAAGAAGCATTGCTCCATTGATTGGTAATTCTTTAAACCCTAGAATTGTTAAAAAATAAATAAAAAATGACTCATTTAAGATTTGAAAATATAAGAGAAAATGAGAACATCCACATTTCATAAAAGTAAATCATACCTGATGACAGAAACATAATAACTTGACTAAAAGTAGGTTTATATAAAAGATATTTGTGAGGATTTTCCCGTCTGCTTGGCCTGCCCAGCAACTGCCCATCACCATTTTCATGACTCATTTTCCCTGGCATCGAGTACTTGTCCTGAAAATTTAACAGTCATGTATATTTACAATGTCAAAAAAGAAGTGAAGTTATACTTTTCCTGGAAGCAGAGAGCATGTGGACTGACTTTGTTATTCACACAATTCAAAACTGACAGTTAACTTACAAAGCTTGATCTGCCGGGTGCAGGTGATGAATCGTAGATATGATTGAATTCATCCTGAGGTTCTCTTTCTAGAGTTTGGAGCATCCTGAACATGTCCATGGTTAACTCACTAAACTTGACCTAAAATGTGGAAAGTCATTAATAGTCAAGTAAAACTAACAGTAGGTCAAAGTACTCCACTTCATAAACACATAAAATACCTGATCGTTGCAGTTTCCTATAATAATTATTTCCTGAAGAACAAGATTCATCATAGGTGTTTTCTCACAGGGTGGGGTGGTCAATGGCCCTAATCTGTTTTCAAAAGAAATGCATTTTTGTGGGGTGCTGACTTCCTAAATAATATGTTAATAAGTTTTCAAGAATAAAGAAACTTTACCTATGTGATAATATCACTGTGTTGGCATCAGCATGAAGAACATTTACAATAGCGTCAGCCTTGATGAAAGACTTGATTTCCTCTAGGACCAGTGACCACTCCAATTGATCATCAGGTTCATATGTACTTGTGTAGTCCACAATTTGTTTATCCAATTCCTAATATGTGAGAGAACATAGAAGGTATATAAAAATAGCAAGTCACGATTTTATATGGATTTGAGATTGAAATACAAACCATTACTAATTCTCGAACTAATTTCATTCGTTTGAGAAGCAGACACACAACAATAAAACGAGCATAGTATCTCAGCTTTTTAACCATCAAATCAGGCCTATTTAAAGAGACGAAGCACAAATAAGAAAATACTCATCATTAAACACCTCATTATCAGGAGAACATTCAGATAGAAATATACCTGTTCTCTTTGGCTGCCCTAGAATAATATTGTCTTCCACGGATTGCTGCATAAAATGAGTATGCCTCATTCAAATAATTTGTTTCACTTGTCCTCAAACTGTAAGCAAGAAAGATTAACAGGTGTAGAAGGACCACACATAGTATTAAAAAAGCAAACAGTGAACTATGCTAGGTAAGAAGAACATTTTTGAGAGAATAATAATTCATCCAGTACAAGTTTACTCACTAGTAGTGGTAGTATAGTTGGCCAATTTTTGATGCTATTTCTCCTATTTGCCATCTTTTTAGACCATATTTAGTATCTAGTATTAGTCTGCCGGACAAGGAAACAAATGGATTAACATGCCAAGTCTATAATGATTGTTTAATTATAGTCAAATCAAGTTTACCTGTGTTGTTGCTGGAACTTCCATAATTTGGTGTAAATGTCGAACGTTCTACCAAAGTATGATTGCCATTGTTTGTGACCATGTTGAGGCAAGTCTCTGTAAATAAGGAAAGAAAAAACATGAATTATAGACCAAAATATATATTGACAAATGAGAAAAGGGCATGTTTTAAATGTAAAAATGAGAGAATATTCCAAATGTAGAATAATATCTTTGATACACAGGTTCTAAGCCATGGATTGAAAGATACAGAGAGAAAGATAAAATTACCACGCTTCGCAAGTGACAAATGTAAAAATACGAACATAAGCTTATAATACTAGTTTCTGTTTGATTAATGAATTGTTGACAACCACTAAAACCATCTGGTGTTGCAAATACAGGCAGGTGACAGGTGAGGTTATAGAGCACACTTTAAGATATGGTTTGTGAATAGAAACCAGTAGTGCTCCAAGAGCCACATCCAAAAGCAAGAAACGTGGTAAATAAAAACCAAAGTAATATCGCATTGCCAATAATTGGTTTTCCATGAAGTGTCAAAATACCGTCTGCTATCGATGAGCGACATTGCTCGTATGTAGTTTATGTTCTGGTTATAGCTCAAATTGGTACAGAAAATTGAGTAAGAAACTCACCTTAGCCCATTAAAAAGTTGTTTTGATTTTTCTAAAAGATGCATAAACTCAATAACTACTTTTCTATCAAGTTCTTCCATACTAGGGTAAACGCTGGCGCCTGCCATGGCTACCATATCTACGACACTGCTGTCTTGCTGCCCCTCCCCCTTGGTGTCTGCGCCTGCGCCATGATGGCTTCAAAAAATTCTCATACATGTGATTGAGATTTGGGGAAGTGCCTCCGCAGAACTGTACGTCGCAAAATTTTGAGCATGTTGCAGTGTTTGTTTATGTTGCTGTGTTCTTTTGCGGGATAACTAGTGGATTCTGGATACTTCGATTTTCCCGGAAATGTCTCTAACAACATACCATTTTCGATATACTTTGAAATCTTTTGATCAAATTGGAAATTCAGATCATTTCAACACTATACCTCGTAACCGTAACCGCGTAACTTCCCTCTCAATCATCACAAGGAAAGTCATTTTAAAAAATCTCTTTGTTTTTAAAGTAAAATTATTGTTTTAAGCTTAGTCAGTAGAAATCACTTCATTAGGGGGCAAAAAATGACTGCAGTGTATTTCTTTATTGACGAAACTGACGTATATGCAATGGCCAGCAACGGCTTGCCAAAGAAGCCAAATTCGACGCACTACTACTCACGCACACCCCGGCCGCCCCGGGGGGGGGAGGGGTGCTACGCGCTGCCACACCCCCGCGGACCGCTGCTCTGGCGTGGCGTGGCGTGGCGCCGCGCGGTCGTACGCCCTCTGCGCGGGGACGCTGTAAACCAGGCGACGACCACCGCCACCAAGCCTGAAATAACCCCGGGGCGGGG